TTTAAAAGATCCTTCCAACCAACAAAATCTATAAATAAATAAATAAATAAATATGTCAGTGAAATTAAAAGTTAAAAATATTACAAAATTTCATGTAATAATGTAATAATGCCATAATATTTAAAATTATAGAAATAAATTGTTATTTAAAAAATGGCGTATAAATGACCTGAGAAACGGTTCGGGTCATTCCGGAAGCATCCAGGAAAGTGGAGGTGGTTAGGAATCGAGAAAATTTCCCCCAACGTACCGAAATTCCAAGTCGTTTTTTCTTTCGGTTAATTTTGTATAAAATTGGTGTGAATTTGCAGAACTCAATCGGAGCGAATGGAGATTTCAGGGAAGAGGAAGAGGCAGGAGAGTGATCGCATTGACAGCGACGACACGGAAATCGAGAAGTTCAGCGAGATCGTCGACAATTTTCGTGCTCCGTACAACTGGTTTAGGGCTAAAATCACCGGTTCTGGTTCTCTAACAAATGGCCACGATCTGAACAAGAATCACAAGATTGTTCATTGCGATTCGAACCGAGGCGTGGATGGTGTTTGGATGCCCTGTTTTCTTGTCGAAGATTTCGAGGAACAGGAGGTCATTAAGTCCTGGAAAGCCAGAGCACTGCCGAAGTCACAGACGGCGGATCCAGCGGCGGCGGCATTCGAAGCGATCGACGGGGGAGAGGAGGCGAAGAAGAAGGATGATCACAAAGAGTTAGACCTTCGCCTTTCTCTTTAAATTTTAAACTAATAATAATTATTAAAAATAATAATTATTGCCATTTTCTACTTGTTTTATTATTTCATTTTCTTAAATGATCCAGAGATATTAAAAAATTAAAATTAAATCTCTTAACATTTTCTTCCTTTGGAATCCATAAGATTCTATTTAGTTTAATTTATTAAATTTGAAATTGAAATTTTTTTATTTTTTTAATTACACTTTTTAAAGTCCTAGGATATATATGAGTATCTGCAATATTAAATATGGAAAATGCATAAATATATATAATATTTAAAGATTTATAAACTAAATTTATAATTTAATTAAAAAGAAGTGTTGAATATTAGTAAAAGGTAATGGGATATATATATATATTTATTTTTCTATGGCTTGTGGTCGTTGTGGTTATGGAATGAAATTTCCACTTTATTCTCACGAAACGGCAGCGTTTTACCTCACATGAAGACCACAGCGTCAGAAAACAGCCACACTGTGACGTCCTACTCTCTACGTACGCAGAAAATTAATTGTTTTTTTGACTTCAAACCTTCGACCTATTTATTATTATTTTTGGCGCTACTCTATATTTTTTTAATATTTAAAAAAATTATGCGTTTATAAAAATAAATTGAATTTTGTGTTTCCTTTTTAATTCTATGTAAAGGAAAAGTATATAGGCTAAATTAATAAAAATATCTTTAAATTCTGGATTTTGTCTAATTAAATGTTCATAAACGTTCAAAGTTTCAATAATACTTTAAATTTTTAAAAAGTCTAAAAAAAAAAACCTATATAATTAGTTTTTTTTTACATAGACGTTAATACTTTATTTAAAAAATACTATAAACTTTAAAAAAAAATTATTAATACATTTCCAATTAAAAAAAATCTTACATTTTTATTTTTATGTTTGAAAAAATATCTATGTTTTTTTATGGTCAAACATACGGAAGAAAATTGTCTTCTCGTAAATTATTAGTATTTTGAAACGTTGGTAAGTTATTTTTAAAGTTTTTGAAAAAAAGTTAAAATATTTAAAAGTTTTTTTAAAAAAATTTAAGAATATTAATAAAACTTATAAATGTATTCGTTTAAATGTTAAAAGTGATATTTTTGAAACAAACTTTACTATTTTCAAAATTTTTAGATTTATCTTTTAAATTTAAAGTATTATTAAAACTTTTAAAAATTTAGACAAAATCCATTTAAGAATATTTTTATTATGATATCAATGGAAAAGATACTTTTTAAAAATGAAATATTTTTTAAATCTTTATAATAAATTTAGATTTATTTTTTAAGTTTAAAATATTATTAAAAACTTTTAAAAATTTAGACATATTTTTTTTTAAATAAAATCGATTTAAGAATATTTTTATTATGATATCAATGGAAAAGATACTTTTGAAAAATTAAATATTTTTTAAATCTTAATAATAAATTATTGGTAGAATGTGAGCAGATATTTGCATTAATTATCAAATATTTGTTAATTATGATGAGTAAAGAATGTGTAGAGATATTTGTAGAATGTATTGAATTTTACTTTCATGACCCAAAAGCGTTGGAAATTGCATTAATTAAAAGAATATTAATTTTAGTAACATTTTAAAACATTATATTGGTGAAAATAAATATGTTGGGATTAATTTGTGGAGGCCCACTCATAATGACTGTTACTAATTTCAGTAAAAAATACTTTTACTCTCATAAAGTTACATTCAAATTTAATTTATTACAATTTGGTTGATTATGTCAACTTTAAATTTTGTCATAATTTCGTAATTACAAATTCCATAGAAATTAAGTATAAATTTTTATTATGTTATGCTAATTTTTTTTTAAATTTATAAATACATTTAGTCTCTCATCATTTTATTTACCTATCTAGTTAAAAAATAATTTATTAAATCTTTTGAATAAAAGTTTGATAAAGATATTGATAATTAAGCATAAGTTTTGAAAACGTGGACATAAATAACGTCATCAATTAAGAGCTTAGAGATTTAAATCCTAAGCTACACAAGGACGAGGATAGAGAACATTTTACTCGTTAGCTAAACGAGGAGGACGAGAGCTATGAATCTAAAAAGTAAAGGGTTTCTTTTATTCTTCCTTAGCTAAACGAGGATGAGGATAGAGAATATATTTTTCGTTCCCGTCCCACTTCCACCTCATTTTCCACTTTGCTTTTCATCTTATTCCGATAAACATGATTATTATTATTTTAATATAATATATATATATATATATATATATATATATATGATTGAATTATTTGAAAATTTTTATAATATTTAAAATTTGAAGAACTTAGAACCTTTAAAGTATATTTTTTTTAGATAAATATATATGGATGTGAAATATTATTTTTGTTTTTGTTAGGAAGTTCAATAATTTCTGATTTATTATTTCGTTAAAACGGCGTCGAATGGTACATTTATGATTTTTGGGCCTAACGTCTTTGTATTTGGGCTTTTAAGCCCAATTGATGGGAACAAATTATATAACGTTACATTTCAAAATTATGTCATTAGTACTCTCGAATTATAAATGAAACTTTATTATATAAATTTAGTTAAAAAATATAATTAATACTAAAAAAAGATATATATATATATATATATATATATATAAGTTTTTAAAATTAAAAAATGGTGTATGAATAAATAACACGTGAAATTATTGAATTATGTATATATATATTTAATTTTTTTTATAGGATTAAAACTTCAACCTTACGTTACTTTGGAGGGAATATTATAAAAGGTAAATTTTCTTTTGTTTTGTTTGATTAAGGAAAACATTTACTTTATTTATTCGGAAGTGATATATCATTTATCTCTATTATTTCTTTCATGAGTTATTATTAAATGCGTTAATTGACCATTAGAAAAAAAAATATATTTTTAACCTTTTCTTTTGTTGATAATAAGACTAAATTTTAATTGGTTGGAATTTATACCTTAAAATTTTTAATAATTTAATATTATTTATGGTATGAAAATCTAAAGTGATTAGTGTAATCTTGAACGAAAAAAATTATGTTTAAGTAATAATCTAAAGTGTCTATAATATATGAATAAAGTTGTGTATTTTATCATGATAACACTATTGATGTAGTTCACTTTGTAATCCTTCAAAATCGACAAGGAATCCATACAAAAGAAACCTCTGATACCAAATTATAAGAAATCACTACAAGGGAAGTAATTGTTAATCGAATATTTTAAGTTAAGAACATTTGTTTGAGATTCGAATCACTCTACACGTAAGATCGACTATGTTTGAATGATTTTAAACATGCAATCTAAACTACATAGAATTGCAAAGAAACTTGGTCATTGACTTTATGTACATTTTTCAAGTCTACTTTACAAACATAACACATATGATTTTATATAGCTTCAAAATGAAAGTCGTAGCCTTACGAGACATTCTAAGAGTTGTAACTTTCATATCTTATAATCATAATTAGCCACTATATAAATGTAAGTTTAAAATAAATAAAAAAGTCTTAAAATACATTAATGAAATACTATGATCCTAATTTATCATCCATCCAAACTTTGTAATCATCTAAGAATAAACGAAGTTTATCTTAAATGATTGATGTCTTGGTCTATATAAAAAATAATTTGATCTAAATTGTTCATATGGAGACGTGAATAGAAATATCGAATAGAAATCTTATACAATAAATTTTTATAGGAGTAAATCACCCTTATAAATTTGTTAACTGAGAAAATTAATATTTCACACACTAATTAGGCTTTAAGTTGCAGCATAAGATCAGGAACAAAAAAAAATTAAGCACTCCCTAAAACTTTCCATATATTTCATGAATACAAATTTTTTTATCCTTTATTTTGTTTAATCCTTTATTTTGTTTAATCCTAAATAAAATAAAAAGTTGATTCAAGTAAATGAAACATTTCAATATTTTCGCTACGTGAATAAAACGTTCATTATCGACGACAATACTAAATTACTGCCCAAAATTCATCACATTCACACCTACCAACAACAACAAAAAAAAACAAAAAAAAAAAAAATCACAAAATGAAAGCAACACTAAAACCAATTTTCCAATTTTAAGTTCAATTAAAACTTCTATAGATTCTGGTTGACTCTACGAATTCGATTCTTTTCCTTAACTAAAATTACAGTTCAAGTCAAAGCTGTGTTGTGTTAGTACTATATTATGCATTAAAGCTATAAACTTTATGTTCATCAAATATCATCTCCCATCAATGGAGGATCACCAAGACCCATGGAGCATTGAATGCTGAGAGATACAGCTGATTCCTTCTCATGAACAAAACCAAATATCCTTAGAAATTTTATTCTTTTATTTGTTTATGTTTTTTTTGACAGCGAGCTTTCATTTCATTTCATACCCCCTTCTGACCCGCTTCTACGTCTACTTCAAATCTACCCTTCCTTCCCTTTCATCCCCCACCGCCCCTTATATAATCCACCACTTTGCTTCCTTCTCTACGCACCCATTTGCTCTGTTTCTCAGATTTTAGCTTCCATTCATTCAATCATGTAACTCATTTACAGCCCTTTTTCTCATATACCAATGTCCTTCAAGAATCCCAGAACTTGAGCTTCATTTTTTTCCACTTACAAAGTGTTTTTGAACAAAACCCATATTGAAATTATGGAGGAGACTTTTGTTCCTCTTCGTGGAATCAAGAATGATCTCAAAGGGAGGTTAGTGTGCTACAAACAAGACTGGACCAGTGGGTTGAGAGCTGGGTATAGGTATGAATATCTCTTCAATGGGTCCTTATTTTTTGCAATTTTGGTTCATTTGGCTTCTGGGGTTGTCTTTTTGTTGATGTTTTCATTGGTTTTTAGGATTTTGGCTCCCACTACTTACATATTCTTTGCCTCTGCAATTCCTGTCATTTCATTTGGTGAACAGTTGGAGAGAAGTACTGGTGAGAGTAGTAGTAACTCATAATCTCTTCTCAATTTCATGTTAGATCTGAAAAAGAGAAGGAAAAACACAAGGATTTTGAAGATTTGGATTGATTTTGTGTTCTTAAGTGTTGATTTTGTTCTGGTTTTGACAGATGGGGTACTCACTGCTGTTCAAACCTTAGCCTCCACAGCTCTTTGTGGTATCATTCACTCCATTGTTGGAGGTCAACCTTTGCTCATCTTAGGAGTGGCAGAGCCTACTGTTATTATGTATACCTTCATGTTTAATTTTGCGAAGGAACGACCCGAGTTGGGTCGGAATCTGTTTCTAGCATGGAGTGGATGGTATGATTTGCTAATTGCTTCAAAGAAACTAGAATTGGTCTCTAATGAAGTTCTTCAATTCTTGTTGTTGACTCAACTTTGTATGAACTTGTGTATCTTTAGGGTGTGTGTTTGGACTGCAGCCTTGCTGTTCTTAATGGCTATATTAGGAGCTTGTTCCATCATTAATCGGTTCACACGTCTCGCCGGTGAATTGTTCGGTATGCTTATAGCAATGCTTTTCATGCAGCAAGCAGTGAAAGTAAGTAAGAAGACTAATAAGCTTAAATCTGTGTAAGAAGAAGCATATGTTGTTTAGTAGTTGAGAGTTTGAGTTTGTTTTAGGGACTCGTGGATGAGTTTCGCATCCCGGAACGGGAAAATGCAACGTTGATCGAGTTTATACCTTCTTGGAGGTTTGCCAATGGGATGTTTGCTTTGGTATTGTCATTTGGCCTTCTACTCACTTCGTTAAGGAGTCGAAAGGCACGGTCATGGCGATATGGATCAGGTATGATCTGGAAGAACATGAAAAGATGAGATGTTCAAGAAAGTTTTTCGAGTTATTTATAGTTTCTCTTTGGCAGGTTGGCTCAGAAGCTTGATAGCAGACTATGGAGTGCCGCTCATGGTTCTTGTTTGGACAGGTATTTCCTATATACCCTCAAAAAGTGTCCCACAAGGAATCCCGAGGCGACTCTTTAGCCCGAATCCGTGGTCTCACGGTGCGTACGAAAATTGGACTGTTATTAAGGTAAGGCTAATCAGTTTTCTACTGATTCTCTGTCTGATTGTACTGAAATACTGATTGTTTTTCATCACAACGTCGCAGGATATGCTTGACGTTCCTGTTAGTTATATCTGTGGAGCTTTCATCCCGGCTACGATGATCGCGGTGCTTTACTATTTCGATCATAGTGTTGCATCTCAACTTGCTCAGCAGAAAGAGTTCAATTTGAGGAAACCATCTTCTTACCATTATGATTTACTTCTATTGGGATTCTTGGTATGCCTTATCTCGAATGTTTTCCTTTCGGCATATGGCTCGTTACATCGATATAACGGTTCGAATCTTGTCTTGTCTCAGACCTTAATATGTGGTCTTCTAGGAATCCCTCCATCCAATGGTGTCATCCCACAATCTCCGATGCATACGAAGAGCCTGGCTACTCTCAAACACCAGGTAAACTAGTCAGTCCGGTCCTAGTAATCGTTTCCGAGTTACCTTCATAATCTTTTACTAAAAGATTTGTGTTCATTTTGCAGTTGTTGCGGAATAAACTCGTAGAAACGGCGCAGAGTAGTATGAGAAAGAATGCGAGCTTGGGTCAGTTGTATAGAAATATGCAAGAAGCATATCAACAAATGCAGACCCCTTTGATCTACCAACAGCCTGCGGTTCGTGTAAGCGACCCGATTTTATTGATTCTTTTGTGAAGCAGTCTCAGATAAACACAAACTTATTTGAATCGTTCACCACGAGTGAAGCGCTTTTCGCATTCTTTTGTACCAAATGCTCCTGAAACTAAGCTATGTAAAAACTTTTGAGCAGGGACTGAATGAGCTAAAGGAGACAACCATTCAAGCAGCTTCTAGTATGGGCAGTTTCGACGCTCCGGTTGATGAGACAATATTCGATATCGAAAAGGAAATCGACGATCTATTGCCTGTTGAGGTGAAAGAACAGCGTGTCAGTAACTTGCTTCAAGCTGCAATGGTGGGAGGATGCGTTGCAGCCATGCCGATCCTTAAAAAGATCCCGACATCGGTTCTATGGGGTTACTTCGCCTTTATGGCGATCGAAAGCTTGCCTGGTAATCAGTTTTGGGAAAGAATCTTGTTGCTCTTCACTGCACCTAGCAGAAGATACAAGTAATTGAAACAGCCACTCCTTTTTCTACCTTCTTCCCAATTTATTTCACCAAGTAACACATAAGTTTTTTACTGTCATGTGCAGAGTTCTTGAGGATTACCACGCGACGTTCGTCGAGACCGTGCCGTTCAAGGCCATTGCTCTTTTTACCATTTTTCAAACAGTATATTTGTTCATATGTTTTGGACTAACATGGGTTCCAATTGCTGGGGTGATGTTTCCTCTAATGATTATGCTCCTTGTCCCTGTAAGACAATACCTTCTTCCCAAGTTTTTCAAAGGTGCACATCTCCAAGATCTCGATGCAGCCGAATTCGAAGAAGCGCCAGCTTTACCGTTTAATCTTGCAACGGTAACATAACCGTTTAGTTTTTCGATATATAATTAGTAATCACCAAGCTGATTGACATGTTTGATACTAATGTGTGTGAACAGGAAGCCGAGCTCGGTGCAGGAGCATCGTTCGGTGGGGACAGAGAGATTTTAGACGAGGTTATCACTCGAAGCCGTGGTGAATTTAGGCATATTAGCAGTCCTAAAATCACAAGCTCCACGGCAACGCCAATGTGTGACCGAAAAAGTATCGATAGCCCTCGTCGCTCTTTCAGCCCTCGGGTGAGCGAGCTAAGAGGAGAGCAGAGTCCTCGAGCCAGTGGACGAGGAACACCGGGTCAGAGAAGTGCAGAAGCTAAGCCATCCAGTTTGGGAAAGAGCCCTCTTAAGAACACAGCATCAAAGTAGTAGATGCAGAAAGAATGTTGTAAAATTCTCCCTCTGATATTAAGTTTTAGTTAAGTTTATTATTATGTTCATAAAGATTTGTAATAATTCAAGAATGTTTTTGTTTCATGAGTTGATAAGAATGTTCAACAACACTAAATCGAAACATCGTCGTAATAGAAGTTACTATTGAAGTCAACTTCGAACAGTGTTTTCAAAGGTCCAAACACGACACGAACCATAGAGCAGAGTTTAAATTCAACTTGGTTTAGTTAAATGTAACAATTGGGAGCGTCGAGCCTAATCATTAAATCGACTCTCAAAGTTTTAGATGACTCGAACCACTAGAATTAAGATACTAGGTTATTGAGACGAGACTAAAGTCATAGACGATCACTTTCTTGAATCTCTGTACTGCGATGATAGTGGGCAGATAAAATAATAATAAAAAAATACCAATAATTATGTAAAAGAAGGAATATTCCTTGCTTATATATTATTCTCTCCTTCTCTTTATTTATATATATAAATAAAGAAGAATAATAAGACAAAAAAGAAATAAAATAAAAAGAATAGTTTGCATTTATGTGATCAATATTCATTACTTAAAAAATGCATTAAAAAAAGGGGAGAGTTGACTTTTAATTCAATAAATAAATAAAGTGCAATTAAGATTATATCAATAATGTGAATTTTATTATTGAGAAAAATAGGTCATCCCCATGTGCCTTTTATTTTAACAACTCATTTTTGTAAATAATTTAATCTTCCATTTTCTACTCATCAACCCCATAACTAAATTTCATGTTAATTTTATTCCCATGTAAAAAAAAAAAAAAAAAAAAAAAAAATTTAATCGACTTTTTTGCTCTAATGTTTAATGATACACGACAAAGAATTAATTTAAACACTTTGAATGTTACGAACTAATTTGTCTATAACGAATCCTATGTGATGAGGCAAATAATGATTAGAAACTCTCGAAATAATCAGAGATGAAGATGAATCGTGATGTTACCATCAATAAAAAAAAGACAACAAATTTGCTACCAAAATTCAACATCTTCGTTAAAAAAATAGGAACAAAAGAAAAACACACTTTTAATCACCAATTTTGATGCTTTCTATNTTAAAGAAGTCAAATATTATTTTGGAAGAGGGTGATAGGAACTGATAACGTAAGCCGTAATTTATTCATAATAATAATTATTAAGTTAAATTACTACATTTTGAAATTTTTGTTTATTTTACCTTTAAATAATTATTAATTGGTTTTTTTTAATATGAAATTAAAAAAAAAATTGAGGAATTAAATTTATAATTTAATAAAAATAAATTATGTTATCTTCGAGTTAGTCCAGCTAGACGATTAGGTAGGCGTGGAGGGTTGATGTAATGCGCAAAACAAAATTGAAATGGAATAATAAAATATTTTTTTAGTTTGCAATTAAATAAAATAATTCATATTTTATGTTTAACGATGAATATTAGGCTCCTGATTTTCCGAATTATGTTTCAAAAAACTTATTATTATTATTTTATTTATTTCTATAATGTCTATTTTTTCATATTTCTTTCAATTATTGGTTTTTTTTTAAAAAATAATTTTGAAACAAGCCTTCTATAATTTATTAAAATTACCAAACTATTGTTTTTAAAATCCTATTACGAAGGTCGGTGATGTTGATTAATGATTTTTGTGGTGGCCAATTAAAAAGTTAATTTTATGTATATAGTAATACAACAAACCATTTTTTAAACCACCGATTTTAAAATAAATCAATTATTGTACAATAACTTTTTAAAAATACTTTTCTTTCTTTTCTTGTTAAAATAATAATTAAAGAGAAAAAAAAAAAAAAAAACTCGTTGTCCTTTTGCTTAAAAAAAAGTCAATACTTCAGTGGGAGTGAGATTTGTGATGTTTTTTTCCATCATGTTAGGCTTAGAAACAACCTATCGAGAAACGGAAGGTACATGAATAAATCGAGAATACATCTAAATGAGAGATAATTTAAAGATAGAATAGCTAAGAAAGACTTGAAAGAATTGAAAGTGAGTGTTTATATTGGTAGACTGTACTTTTTTTTTTTTTTTTTCGGTGACTCAATCATAAAAAAAGATCCGGTAATTATTTAAAATGAAAAATGAAAGCAAAAGGGTTTGAATGATTATGGTGCTTTCTTATTGCTCTATTTGACACTTTGATTATTAATTAACATTATAATAAATAAGGATCTTTACTTAAAACTCTTCTTTATTGTTAAGGAATAAAAGGTATCTACCAAACAATCCAACATCAAAAATTCATATAAATATATGCAACTAATTATTAAAATAATAAAAAAATTCTTATAATCACGACGAATCAGAAGAAAATCGAGTAATTTCTTGAAACGTCTCTCCATTATTAAAACGATGGTCTCTCCATTATTAAAACGATGATGAGGATGGTGATAAAAGTAGGAAATGTGGTTCAGTAGTTGAAAGCTTTTTGTTATTGAACTTTTATTTAATCACTATGCATTTGAAATGATATTGTCTACCACAATCCCCTTTGATTCTTTAATATTGTAAATTGTGAGGCAAAGAGAAAAGATTATAGGCATATGGTTTTAAATAAATCTCACCCATTCATTTTTATTTAATTGTAAAATGTAAAATGTAAAATGCAAACTTATAATTTTATTGTTCAAAGTGAAATGATTATAAATTTGTGGTTTCATGTTTCTTCTTCCAAAATGTGGAGAATCAATAAAAGCTTTGTGTCAAAATATGACATTATTTTGTGCAGATTGTAAGAAATGATCGATTAAAAAAATATGTTCTCGTGCATCTCTTGCGACATGATAACCTTACTTATTTCTTGCTTTTAAGAGTGAACACTATCTCTACAAACCAACACAAGTCCTTCTAGGACCCAGTAAGGGTTGCTTAACCATGAAGTTCTTATGATTGAGCCACCGAAAAAGAAGATGCACCTTGTTGGTAAAGGTAGCGGCTTTCAATTCTTTTAAGTCTTTCTTAGCAATCATATCCTCAAGATCTCTCTCATTCGGATGTGGTCTCGATTCATGTACCCCTTCCTTTACTCGAGTGCCATGTGCCCACCGACTTTTGCATTGGTTTGTCCCCAAACCACATCTTACTAGGAGAGGTACCATTCCAATACCATTTATAACAACTCATGCCTAAGATTTTGATTAGAATTCAAAATTCAAATTCGACACCTGATGGCCCCAACATTTCCCCGCATCCCCTGCGACATGATCATGCTATCTATTCCTCGCTTCTAAGAGTAAAGACTATCCTCACAGATTAACATGAGTCCTTCCCGCTCCAAGTAAATCACAATTAACCATGAAATTCTTTTAAACCATTCTTAGTTATCCTATTCTTAGAATCCATCTTCCTTTACTCCAGCCTCACATGCAGACCTCAAGTTTACAAGTTTTGTCTAATACATGAGTGAAATTTAGAGTATCGTTAGACACTTGAAAATTCGGGAGATAAACTTGTTATTCAACGTTAAGCACAAATTTTTCATCGACTAAACTTGAAAATAATAAACACGACGTTATTATTGAGATGAAAAGACTTGAAATTTAGATGGAAGAAGAAGAAGATAAGCTAAAGGAGGAAAAGTTGGCGAAGTGTAAGTTGAGGAGTAGAGAAATGGGCAGATAAGATAGCGGAAGCCACAACACGATTGGCAGCTTCACTGTAATGAACTCCATCCCAAACGATAGCTTTCGAAGGGTTGGCGCAGATGGAGTACCCCGGTTGCCCACATGTTGCCTTCACGTTGTAATTATTTGGCGCCCCTCCATACCCACAACATGCCATTAATGCCTTCTCAAACCCTTTCACAAAAACCAAAACATTCTCTCAAAAAAGTCCTTAAATTTATTCACAATTTTGTTCGAGATTTCATACCGTATACGTCGGGATGGGCGAAGAGATTATATTTGATGGTGTATACGTCGACGTAGACGACGATGGCATCCTTAAATTGAGATCGTAGGTCTTTGCACACATTTTTAAGGTCTTTATTGAAGGATTTGGCGACTTGATTGTGAACCCTAAGGCACCCAATTTGGTCAACATCCTTGTGGGTGTGGGGATGCAATGCCAGCTCTTTTGGAGAGCAACCTAATGGTCCTGTATTGTGTATCCAAAATTTTCTTCCACCATTTGCATATAGATTCTGTACGCAATGTTGTAAGTTGTGTTTTCAAATATTAAAAATGCTTGCACATGATCCAAAAGATTCCTTGTGATAAAGTGGTGTATAATTAAAAAAGAGTGCAAGTTGGTGTATTGTTAATGGTTTTAAGAGTGGTGAATTTGGAAGGGAAAAGTGGAAGAAGGGTTCACCTGAATGGCTAGCTTGATTTCTGCAAGAAAAGATGGGATCTTTTGGGCCACTGGTTTGTAGGTTAAATTTGATGCATAAAGGGCAACTAAGAGGTCATTCTGACCAATGTCAATCATGTATACTCCATTCTTAAACCCTTCTTCATCCATTATGTTCTTAGTTTTACCTGCCACAAACCCGTCTACATTAGATACTTGATAACGAAACAAAGAAATTTATAGATAGTAGAAGTAGGGAGTCGAAATTGTTATTGTAACAGTCTAAGCCCACTACTAACAGATATTGTTCTCTTTGAGTTTTCATTTTTGGATTTTCTGTCACGATTTTTAAAAACATGTTTGTTAGGGAGAGGTTTCCCACACCCTTATAAAAAAAATTGATGTGGGATCTCTCAATCCACCCCCTTCGAGGCTCAGCATCCTGTCCTCTTTGGGCTTTCCCTTCCATGGTTTCGCTCAAGGTTTTTAAAATGCGTTTGTTAAGGGAGAGGTTTCCACACCCTTATAAAGAATGTTTCATTCCCCCTCTCCAATCGACGTGGGATTCACAATCCACCCTCCTTTGGGGCCAGCGAATCCACACCCTTACAAAGAATGTTCCATTCCCCTCTCGAATCGACGTGGGATCCACAATCCACTCTCCTTTAGGGCCCAGCGTCTTCGCTAGCACTCGTTCTCCTCTCTAATCAATGTGGAATCTCATAATCCACCCCCCTTTGGGGCTCAGCATTCTTGTTGGCACACCGCCCTAG